CTATCGCACCTTCCGTGCATCCTTAACTATTCTAGTATACTATTTTGAATTACTTTTTTTTTTTTTCGATCGTTTTCTTCTCTTTTAGATTGCTTTATAGTTTCCAATGTTTCTCGAGAATTCATGTATTTTTCTGACTTTTACTTCCAAGAATATTTTTTCATCCGTCGGTTTATGTATTTTTTAGACGTTATTTATTTAATATCAGATGGAAAAGAAAATAAAATAGTCTAATTCTTTTCTAATGTGTTCATTAAAATCAATAATGGGGAAAATGATTTATCAACATTGGTCGTCTTCAGATCATGACCAAGAAAAGAAAGAACAAAAATTTGGGATTTAAAAACTTCAAGAACTTGACCCGGAACCCGAACCCTTGTTGTATAATTTGATTCTCCGGCTTATCTCCTTCTCTAGCTCTTCATTTCCTCCCACTTCTTCCAATTCCTGTATCGCCAAATTAAAAAAAAAACAAATTGTTAAAAGCCAACAACATAAAGAATCTAAGCAAATCAAGAAACTTCTTGCCTTGGGTCCAAGAAACAGTCCATATGGTACACCATTGAATTTGTCTGTGTGATGTAGCTGAAACATAATCATTCACGAGACTGTTAAAATCAAACTAGAATTAGAATTTAGGGAAAGGAATGTGTATTTTAATGTTACCTGGTGAGCAGCGGCGACCTTTCGGAAGTAAGGAACATCAGCGATGGGACCTACGGGGAAGCGCTTGTGCACCAGACCATCGTGGACAAACATGTAGGCTATCCCAAACACCGTTATTCCTAAACCCTGTAATAATCAAATTAAAATCAGTATTAGAGCCAAAGTGTCATTTGTCATCACATGAATCGAACATCTTTTGTGATTCTTTATTACAATACAACAAAATACAGATAGGCAGAAGAAATTGCAAACAAGAGAGACACATTAAACTTAATTCGATCTCAGTCCACCAATACGGAGAGATTAAAAATAAAAATATTACTTTTTCCACTTATGGACCTTTAGTAACGATAAAAAGCCAAACAAATTTTCTAATTTTAGGGTGATTATGGAGTTTGGTTAGTGAGTTTACTCTAGACCCACAACATTGAGTTTGCGTGCTCTTTCTTTCTTTCTTATGAGTTGCTAAGAAGATGTGAGAGGGAGAGAGAAGACTTACAGCTCCGAAGCAGAGACCAGGAACGAGTCCTTTATTGAAGAAACCATAAGAGAGCAGAGCAATCGCAGGAACAGCGTTAACTATAGCAAACACATCGTTTAACTCAAACGCTCCTTCTCTAGGTTTATGGTGAGACTGCAAAAACAAGAAAAGGAGGACCAAAATCAATTTTTGTACAAGATAATTTTCAAGCAGATTTTGAAAATTAAAAGTAAAAAAACCTCATGCATGTTCCACAAAGAAGCATGCCAAAGAGCTTTATGAGCCCATCTTGCCCAGAATTCCATACCAACCTGTAATTTTTCCAAACTTAGTAACTAATTCACCCCAAAAAAAAAACACGATTGAATCTGAAATTTGTTGAGATTGAGAGACTCACAGCAGCACCAACAGAGAGAGCAAATGTACCAAACATCTCCAAAATTGGGATCTCACCTCCCTGATTCCAAAAAGAAAAACCATGTAAAAATCTCGAAATCTGGTGAAGGAAATTGGGGATTTCGGTTTTTGATTGATTTACCTCCATTTGCCAAGAGAATCTGTAGTAAACAGCCATAATAGCCATGGAAGTGATACCGAAGCTTGACATAACTGCAGCGATTAGGTACGTGAACCTCTCCGATTTCTTCCTTTCCAATTTCTCCGCTAAACGCAACGCGAGGAATTCGGCGGAGGAGCTCGTGCTCTCGCTTCTCTCGTTGTCGTTTTCGATTGGAGAGCTCTGTTTCCGCTCTTCGACGACGTAACAGACGGAGAAGCCTTTGAATCGGAGAGAATGAGGGAATCCGACGGTGGATTTCTGGTGGCGGAGACGGAAATTGGAGGAGGAGAAAGGGAAAGAGCGGTTGAGTGGTTTGAATGTTACGGCGGCGGAGAGTCCAGCCGCCATGGAAACGAGCTCGGTGAGGCTTTTCTGGAGGTTTTTGATTTTTATTTATGCGACTTTTTCTGTGAGAGAGAGAAGGAGGAAGGTGTGGTGTAAAAAGGAGTGAGGAGGCTAGAAAATTAGTTTGGCTAAAGTGCTCTTTTATGCTTTTATTTTTTGGAATTAAATATTATTAGTGAAGGACGGTTCAGTTTCGTGTGACGAAAATTTCCCTCAATTCATAATCTACCCCCACCACTTATCTCACATCGAATTTACAATTCCTACCATTCTTTTTCTTTTTTCTTTCTTTTGGTTAACGATTTATATCTTCCACTTCATTCCACCCAAAAAAATCTAAAAATATTCAGACTTCGTACATAGGCCTATTCATTTGAGAAGAGGTTGCGATTAAATATTTTTTTCCGTTGTCTGTCGCATCATCTTATGATCGGTCACAGGCTTATAGCGATGAATGATTTAAAATTTGAATCTCTAAACTTTTTCGCAACGGGATTTCACACTACCATAGACTGTCCAAACACTTTTAAGACCGGTCTGATAGACCAATATAAATAACCTTAAAAAATTCACCTAAGCTAAATTATACTAAGAGATTTTCCTAACTTGATGAGAATTAAT